TGAGGCATCCTTGTTCCCATTAAGTTCCTCACATATATGCATACCTGGAACCAACAGCAAAAGACCTGGAGGACTTGTTATAATTTATCACATATGTCAGTGCACTATAATCAAAAATTAAATTCAAGAAAGGAATCACTTAAAGACATCTGTTTGTCTATAACTTTAAAGGCACTGACCCCTCTTTTTCTTTCTTGGCAGGTGTTTCTTCTGAGAGGTTTCACAAAACTGGAACCCTTCAGGGGGCTGCTGGAACCCTCCTGCCCCCTCCCCGCAATGCCACCCCACAGCAATTCCCCTTTTAAAAGATTATATCACACAGTGAGCCTTCATTTAGCAAAGGCTTCTACATCTAAACATATTAACAAACTGGTCTGCAGGGTCACTACTCCCGTAGAGGAAACAGATCCATGTATCTCTCTGTGAATGCACTAAAGGCACAGATATCTTCAATTTGGAAATGTAAACCATGCATAAAGGTATAGTACTGGAAAAAGTGGAACCAAACAAGCAGAACCACTGCAAATGACGGTGTTGCTACAACATTCTGGAGTGTCTTCACTGACTGCTCAAACTTCTCTTTAGCGACACTCGTGAAAAAGACAGATTACTGTATATCACTGAATGAGGTTGGTTGGGATTTACTTATTACTCTTTTCAAACAGTTGAGCCCTGCAGAGAGAAAAAGCAGTTTTGTAATTGCTGACCCCAAGAAAATATTTTATTATAATTGTAAAGGTCATCTTGACCTTATTAGCATTACATCAACAGCAGGAGAAAAATCATAACAATAATATAATAAATAGCAGTTAACAGGGCCAGGTATTTTCCTAGGTGTTTTATGTATATAAACACATTTAATCTTCAAAACTACCCTATTGGGTGAAGGAGGTGGGGCAACTCTACGAGCCAAGTGCTAATACTATCCCATTGCACAAATGAAGAAATTGAGGCACAGGGAGGCTAATTAACTTTCCCAAGATCACACAGCTAAGTGAAGAGCTAAGTGAAGAGGCCAGGATGTGAACCCAGCCATCTCGCCCCTAAGTCTGAACTCTTGGGCACTATGCTTATTGCCTCTCGTAAGTCTTCAACACAGCATTTGGTCACATTAAAATCATTAGGGTTCCCCCTCTTTGGAAATCATTCAATTCCACTGGGTTTCTTTAAGATTATTTACCATCTTAATGTGTTTTCCATGAATTAGAAGATTTTGAATAAAAGTTTAAAAGGTTTTCACTTCTCCCCATCTGAAGTGAAATAAAATGAAAGTATCTACTCTTTTAAGAGAACGTTTCTTCAACAAGGACAAATACAGAAGAAGAGGGGAGCCCTGGCTGGGTGGCTGAGGTTAGAGTGTTGGCCTGCACTCTGAAGGGTCCTGGGTTAGATTCCCAGTCAAGGGCAAGCACCTGGGTTGCAGGTTTGATCTTGGTTGGTTGGGGAGTATGTGGGAAGCAACCAACCAATGTGTCTCTCTCACATCAATGTTTCTCTCTCTCTCTCTCTCTCTCTCTCTCTCTCTCTCTCTCTCTCTTCCCCTCCCTCCCTCCCTTCTTCTACTCTCTTTAAAACTAAATGGAAAAAACATCCTCAGGTGAGAATCAACCAAAAATAAACAAAGACAAGAACCAAGGTCTCATCATCTCACTGGTAACAGTTACATCACAGCTTTGTCATGGCTGCTATGAAATTCAGACTTAAGTCTCAAGTTCAAATATTATAGTGTCTTTAACTAGACTTTGCAAAATTTTATGGAAAAATATATATTTCCCTCTCCTTCTTTATAACTTAATATTTATACCCATTTTGCTTTTGTCTTATTTTACCTATGCTTTCATTGTTAAAAGTCTCCAAGGCTATTAGAGAGAAGATACATTATAAAGATTTCATCTTCATCATTAAAAAGAGTCCAAGAATGATCTATACCACATCTTGATTCATTAGAAGGCTACATCTCAGGAAATGAAACTTTATGAGTACCCTTCACATTTCAATAATACACATATAGAAGAAGCACATGCCTATGGTAAAAAGGAAGGAAAAAGAAAAATAAAGATGATTATCCAAGACCATATGCCTGAAGAAAAAGAACAGAGCAGAGAGATTTGAGAAGGAAATTAGTCTTCAGAAAGTCAGTTATCAACAGATCTCCACTAGCTTGCATCTGGGAGCTGTTGGTCACCCGCACACCATCCAGAGATGAACTACAGAGAAGGAGCCTGGTGCTGAGAAGAAGCTGGAATTCTAGATCTGATTCAACCTCTGAGTGCTGTCTCTTTATTTCTCTGTGTCTGCTTTCTCATATGCAAAATGAAGGGGTTGGGGGGGAAAACACGAGTGCCATCTGGTTCTAACATTTTATGACTTCTGAGATGGAATCTAAGAAATGAAAGAGGTGCAAATCCAGAGTCACCCTTCGTTCACATGCGACTTGTAGAATCTCCTAAGGGGTGTGTAAAGCGGAGGAGTAAGCGAGACAATCTGCTGGGAGCAAGAGGAAACTATCTGAATGTCCATTTATAGTTATTTTTACCACAAAAGGTAAAAAAGGCCACTTATGTCAACACCAGCACCCTCGTTTGGGCTCACATGTTAAATGACCCCTTTCCCATATGTTCAGTTTATTTATAGAAGAATGTCATGTATATGGTATAAAAAACAAAACCTTTAATTAATGAGGTGGGAAGTGACCACAAAAACATATTGCACCATTCAGAGGTGTTATCTCATGACAGAATACAAAGAATAATTGTCTTACAGATGATTAACACTTTTTCTTTTACATATATACAAGTTGTTCTAAATTTCCTGACCTACTCTGTGACCATAAGTGGCTGCCAGTAATATGTTACCTGGCAGATTTTTTTTTTTTTTAAATAGGCTTACTTACTCAGACCCTTTAAGGTAAAGATGAGGTTTTAAGAAATGCAAGAAAATAACTGCTTTTTGGAAAGAAGCTAATATTATGGAGAAAGCAAATGTGCTTTTGTAGTTACAGAGAATTTAGAAATAACTTTCTAATCTATTAAAAATTTTCAATGAATGTAAAGAGCTTTATATTTCAACACTTCCATCCTTATTAATACAAACTGTGTAATATATTTTCTGAGAACTTAACAGTATCAGGGAACTTAGACATTTACCAGAAATTTTAACCAAAATTTTTGTATAACTGGTAGAAGTTTTGAAAATGGAAATTGCTGGTTAATAAATTTAGTCAATAATGTACTTTAGCCATTTATATCAATATACCTTTATGAGGTAACTATTTTTTTTTTTTTTTAGCTATTTTAACATTTAAAACCAAATATCAAAATAAATTGAATGTAGGACCAGATTTTCAAATTGTTTTATTACAAAGTGTTCAGCAAGATTTTTTAAATGATGACACAAATTCATCCACATGTAATACACCCATGAACTGTTTAAATAAAAATGCATGTATGGAGGGCATATGCTCAGTAAGAACTTGGATACCTATAGGTAAATCAGTGGTAAGCACTCCAGCATCTTTGTTTTTCCCCCAAGCTTGCAAAAAGTAACAACTTTCAGAATAATTTATTACTTAATCATTGCTTCCAATACAATAAATGTTTTTAAATCAAAGGATTTCCTGGATGGCTACCCAGAGAAAAATAATCCCTTATATAACTATATCTAGTTAGAAGCAGAAATTTACAAGTTACTTCTGCCTCATCAAATTCAACATGTAAAAGATTTCCTCCCACCCATCATACCTAAGAACATGTCTTGTTTTCCTAATTATAAAAGTATACTGCATGCTCAATATTTTTTTAAAAACAAGCTATAAAACGATATAAGTAGAAAGTGAAAAATCATCTATAATCCCTCTCATCCTCAGAGAGACATGTACTATTTTTAAAACAGTTACTTCCTCACTCAAGGTATCACAGTCACTTCTCCACAGAACACTGACTACATACACGCGTTTCATGGCTACAAACTACTTCAATATACAAATATATCAAATTTTATTTAGCCCAAATATCACAGTAAAGGATATTTATATTATTTCCAATTTGTTTAGTATTATAAAAGATCAGTGTTTTGGTTTTTCTTTTTAAGGAAACACAAAATAAAAGGGTCTCTCTTTAGTTGGTGTACCCAACAGATATAAGTAAATGCTTATGGCTTACGTCAATGTTCAGGACTATTCCACATGCCATCGGAACAGTCTTTTCTTATAAATACCCAAACTGAAGTGAATTCTCAAATAGTCTCTTGTTTTGGAGGTTCAGAAATGGGACTAGATTTTTTGCTGGGACTAGAAATAGTATTTGGCCCTCTGGTTAAGTGTAAAACAAACTAATTCCATTCAAAATATTCCTCCTATAAATACCCAAACTGAACTCTGTTCTGGAGTTGTTTTTAAACTCTTGCATATATTTTTCACATAAAGAAACAAGGTACTTTCTTAAAAACAGAAAGATCATAAAGATTTATATTCATAATTCTAATTTAGAAATTAATTTAAAAATTACATATAGTTCATTAATGCTGCAAAACCATACTGACTATGTTTTCACTTAACACCCCCCCTCAATCCTGTTCAGAATGATCGGTGACTTAAAATATGAATTAAAGAAACTTCGTTAACAAGATAGAATATTTTCTGCTTTTGTGTCAAACAGTTAATATTTTAAAATAATAATAGAGTAGAAATAATTCTCTATTAGGTAATCATCCAAGTTAACTATATATTATCATCTTTTATAAAAAGCCCTTAATTTTCTATTTAATTCAAGCTTTAAAAAATAAAAATCAGGGGGCAGGGTAGGGAGGAGGGTGTCTAGTGGGGGAAAGGAGAAACATCTGCAACAAAAATAAATTAATAAAAAAGAAAAAATATCAATTAAGGTTTAATTTTTTTTTTAATGTACTATCCAGGGGCTAATTTTAAATCCTGCGTCCATCTGAAACAGTCAGTAATTTAGGCCTCCAGAACACTGGTAACTGTCGCAATACAGCCCACCCACCTGGGGGAAATAAGAGTTTATCTGGATGACTCTGGTTTACCAGCACAACCTTTCCTTTCTTTCTGAGAGAGCTCCGCCTCTGATTCTTTCAAGTTTCTTCAATGTTCTCGGGAGTTTTCTTCAGCAAAAGAAAAATGATACTTTTTAATATATGTAAAAAAAAAAGTTAAATATTAAAATAGGGGATTTTGTTATATTATGAAAATATACAACCTACTCATTCACTTCTGCTGAAAGTAAAATTACATGCTTTCTCCTTTCTGAATACCAGTTATCTAAATAGAAAGGAGCCAGGCACTCACAGTTACCTGGCGCATTTTCAACCTCCTCCCCTACCTGGCTACAACCTCCCTACCTGGCCCTGGCCAGGCTGCAGAATGGCTGTAAGTCAGCACAGGTGACTGACATGTTTACATCAGATAACATGGAGCACAGTGGGCAGCATGCAGTCAAGCTCCAAGCTGAGGACAGAACGACAGAGGGGTGACAACACTCAGCCTTTAAAAAGCAAACACACAGGCTCGTAACTATGCACTCCGGTGGATGACACGTTACATTTTCTGAACAGTTTCATTTGAATCATGCATAGGTCAAGTCAAGTAAGAAGTGGTGAGACTGTATAACCAACTGCATATTCTTGCACATTCTTGATTAGGAATCAACCTGGCAACAGGTACCAAGAGCCTTAATGTATTTGTACCTCAGACCAAGTAATTCCCCAAAAGGGGAATCTGTTCTAAGGAAATCACCCAAAATAAGAAGTTTTATACAGGGAGGTGTTGCTAGTAGCATTATTTATAGTAGCAAAAGCTTGGAACCATATAGCGATTATTAAAAGTTCATTAGACTCTTAGGCAGTCATTAAAAATTAACATTGTGAAGAATAAATAGGTATGAGGAAATATAAAGATAGTATAATCTCAAAGAGACTTCAAAAAAGATATTGGAAAGGTACACACCAAAACATTCATACTGACTGCTCCAAATGATTATGGTAATTCTTCACTATATTTGTCACTGTTTTTCAAGTTTTTCATACAAGAAATTTACCCCCTCCACACACACACACATACGTGTCTCTCCTCTGTACTTATTAGAACTTAAATTCCACTGAAACCATGAATGTTTCTAGTTCATCTAAATAAACATAAGAAAAAAATTTCACATAACAGAATAAAAATATTCACTATGAGCTATTTACTGGGTCAAATCTTGACTGGCATGATTTAAATTTATAAATATCTGATGTCAAAACTCCAAGAGAAAAGTAAGACAAAGGGCCCTGGCCGGTTTGTCTCAGCGGTTAGAGCATCGGCCTGCGGTCCTGAGAGGCCTGGGTTCGGTTCCCCCTAAGGGCATGTACCTCGGTTGCAGTCTATCCCCGGCCCTGGTCGGTTGTGCGGGTGGCAACTACTCAATGTGTCCCTTTCACATCGATGTTTCTCTCTCTCTGTTCCTCTCTCTCCCTCCCACTCTACCTGAACAAAAAATGGAAAAATGTCCTCCAGTGAGGATAAAAAAAAAAAAGTAAGACAAAGGGGTACACTAGCTTCTCCTAACCTTTATTGCTATTATTATTATTAAAATGTCTCTTAACTTTGCTCCTGCTCTCCTACTTTGGCTCAATATGCCAAAAAAAAAAAAGCCTTATGGGCTTGTCATAATTGTTCCTGGACAATTATTTCTATGCCAAAGCATTTGAACTTTTCACCTATGTGCAAGCAGAATCTAATTTATGAATAGGTTATGTGCCAAATGTTCATTTGTAAGATGACTACTTGTTTCTATGGGGAAATACATTCCAAGTTGGGTTCTATGAGGGAAGGGTCAACTGAAAGTTTTTTCTCAGGTTTCTGGGCATAGAAGAAAGCTAGAGCAAATGTTCTGAAAGGTAAAGCTGATTAGTAGCACAGTGAGACAGGTAATTCGGGAGCGTGGAAACTTAAGAAGTCAGGACCAACTTGTGAAAGATACATGAACACACCAGACACCTGAGAGTGTGGGAGAGTGGGAGGGCCACACGGTCAGGTGGCAGGAGGATTACTAAGGAAATTCAAGAGGGTCCATAAAGAAATTAACTTCCTGCTTGTTTAGATCAGTGTCTTCGAATTTTTAAGACTATGGATGTCTTAGTCAGCAAGGCTTCTACCACATTCACACCTGGTTACCCCAGAAACAAAGGATAATGACTGTGTATTTTGGGGGAACAGGGGGATTCCATATAGTTATGCAAAATAAAATGTAAATATAAATGTTTCTATTTATAATATTATATATAAACTAAGTTATCAATACACACTAAAAACAGATTTTAGGCAGACCACTCAAAACCAATAGAACACTTAGAAAACGCTAAATATACACATATCAGTCTTCAAAATTATTTAATTCCTAATAAATATAGAATGAACTTTATCTTTAAAAATAAATTGTGAAGGTCATGCCACGGAAAGGAATGACTTCAAGAAAGGACTGAGCTCCCAAGTTCTATAGATTAGGACAAAATGCACAGAGACTGGAGAGACCATGAAATGGATACTTCCAAGGCCAAGCACCTAGCCACCTGAGTCAAGAGGAACAAAGATGAGTGAGCAAGGTGCAGAGTCCTGTTCTCCTACCTGGTCTGCTGCTGCCTTTGGCCATTCTGTGCACTTTACATCCAGCTGCTATCCAGCTGCTGTTACCTGGATGCATGAACCAGTGACATGTTCAAGGAAAAGTGTGTCTGGATCAATTTCCACATCACATGCCATTATTTCTTATTTACCAATGTTGTATAAACTAATTTGCATTACAGAAATATGCATGTAGCAGAAAAGACAACATAAGCATTCGTTTTCTACAGCAGATTCAAATTTGTAAGGGGGTTTTACAAACCCTGATTTTTTTCCTTTTGTCCGGTCTAAACCACCTGAAAGCTTCCTCAAGAATAACAAAATGTAGGAATCTGACATGAGACATTTTGGATGCACAAACCTAAAAAAGCAGAGCAAAGCAGGGCAATTGCTAGTACACAGGGCACCTTTGTACACATTCTAAAATGAGTTTCCTCTGTGCAGGCAAATAACAAAAGGGGCACCTGTCTCTGGCTAACACAGCCCTTGCCATGGTGTGCAAGTGGCAACACTGATTTCAGCCCCACCTGCCCCTCCCACTGGACAATCTCGGTGCAGGCCATGTGCTATGGCATGCCACAGAGGTCATTCCTGGATTGATTAATATGGAATACCTTTCTGAAAGTCCAGGGTGAGGTAAGAAAACCAAGCATGTTTCTTACAATTAGAAATAACAATAAACTCCGAATGTTCAGGTGTTGCAACTTGCAGATATGATTTTAATCCAAGCCTAAGGGAAATAATGCAAACAGAAGTAATTTCAGTAGGAATACCTGCAAAACAAGGTAAATGCATACAACTGTAAAAATACAAGGTGGAAAGCATAATGGCACGTGAAGAAAATTTGGCTGTTCCCTGAAAATGCCACAGGCCCTTTAACAGGAAACCCTTTCCCCATAAGGGTAGTATCCACCATGGCCACACCTTCGGGGTAAGGGGAAACCAAAAATAAACCATTCCACCCCTGGGGAACTGCTGCTCCATTTATTTTACCACGGGGTAAAAAAAATTTCAAGCTGTGAGTTTGGTTTAAAATGACCTTGGTCTATAGCAGCCCTAGCTGCCTGACAGCACACTCTTCTATAAAGAGTCTCCAACCCTTCAGAAGTGCGTTCATAGTCTTCACATGATTCACTTGGTGACTTTCCTCTCTGACCCTTCTCACTACATTCACAAGGCAAAGGTCTTGCATGTTGCTGTAAACATAGCTCTTTCTTTGAGGTTAGCTCACAGTTACCCCACACCTCTTACCACCAACTTGCAGCAAGGTTTCCCCCACTCTAATGCATTGCACAACCTGTTCAGCAAAATGCTCTTAAATTCTCAGCTCAATCTTAGTAAAAATAAATTTCACATGGTGATGGTGGAAGGGCTCATGGTCCACCCGTTGAGCACTAATGGCCTACAGTTCGTAGAATCCCAGCTCCATTGATTCATTCAACAATCTTTCTTGGGCGCCTACTACATATAAATACTGTTCTAGGTACAAGAATTAGGCAGTAAATAAGACAAAGTCTCGGCTGCTGTGGAACTCAGCATCCTGGCTGGGGAGATCAATAATAAATATGTAAACAACTCAGTTTCCGAGTATTAAATGCCACAGAGAAAATAAAAGAATAATATGAGAATGAAGGGGCTACTTTAGATGAGGAGATCAGAGAGGCCATGAAAGGCAACTCTTTTAGCTGAGGGACTAAAATGACAAGCAAGGGCCAGCAACTCAAAGAACATTCCAGACAAAGAGGGAAATAAAGGCAGAAGCTCTGTGGCTGCTCTGAGCTGGCTTGTTTAAGGAACAGAAAAAGAGGAAGTCACAAAGAGAGCCCTAAGGGCTGAGAGCCCAGAGGGAAACAGAGGCCAGGCCAGGAAGCCCTCTTCAGCCACAGAGGAGAGTCTGGGTTTTACTGGAATGGTACAGAAGCCTCTGGCAGGTTTGCACTGAAGTGGCGGGATATTTACATCTCAGAAAGATCATTCTCCACCACTGTAGCGGATTTGGATGGAAACAGGGTAAGGGTGAATACAGGGAGACCCGCAAACCACTGCAGTGTTCTAGAAAAAATAATTTAAATGGGAGAAGTATGAAAATGGGGGGGGGGGTCAAAAAGAAAAGTGCTGATGAAAAGGGAGGAATCAAGTTTGGTTCCTGGTTTTTGAGCGCCTGAGAAGATGGTATTTACTGAGATGGGGAAGAAACTGGTCGAGGGCATGACAGGAGGTAGGCTGGAGGAGCAGGGAGGAAATTCCAGAGTCCTGTTTGGAACCCACATCTGAGATGCCTATTAGGTATTCAAGTGAAGACTGTGCGTTGAGAAATTCAATCTAGAGCCTGGTAGGGAAGTCAGAGTTGAAGACGAGTGTCTCACGCATCAGCATAAAGCCAGAATTCTATACATTCTTCTACAGAAGAAGACCCTGGACAGAATTCTGGGGCATTCCGACATTCTGAGATTGGATAAAGAGGAGAAACCTGAGAAGGCACTTAAGACAGAGTGGCTCCTGAGGCAGAAGAAAACAAGAAAAGATAACACAGGATCATTCCTGGATTTAGAAACATGAACGTCACCAGTTATGCTGACAAGAGCAGCTTCCAAGAGTGGTGAGGATCAAAGCTAAGACTGTAGTATGATACAGAGTGTCAGATGAAGGGAGGACAGCAACTATAGACACAAGAGGCCACAGCTTTAGACAAGACTTCTCAATGTTTGCTACAGAAAGGAACACAGTAACAGAGTGCACAGAGCAACAGTGAGAGATGTGATGTCAAAGGCAAGTTTTTGTCCTTGCGGCTGTTTATCTGGTTTGTCTCCCAGAAGGGAGATCCCAGGGCAGCAATTGCTGTCCAACAGAAAGTGCTACAAAGACGAAAACAGTCTATGTCCACACATCTGACACAACAGCCATCACTCACACGCGGCTACTGAGCACTTGATATGTGATTGAATCTGAAGATTTAATTTTAATTAAATGAAATTTGAATAGCCAGGTGTGACTAGAAGCTCCCAAACCACAGTGGAGCCCTTCCAGTCAGTTTGCAGGCTGATGGATTCCACTGTCCAGAAGTCAGGCTGGGTAGCAGGAAGAGGATGACTTTTATGGGTAATATTCTCTAGAGCTCTCAAGATTACCAGCAGCTCAGGGAAGGCAAAGAGACAAAACTCTAGAACAGTGGTTCTCAACCTGTGGGTCGCAACCCCTTTGGGGGTCAAACAACCTTTTCACAGGGGTCGCGCAAGACCATTGGAAAACACATATTTCCGATGGTGATTCATAACAGTAGCAAAATTACAGTTATGAAGTAGCAACGAAAATGATTTTATGGTTGGGGGTCACCACAACACGAGGAACTGTATTAAAGGGTTGCGACATTAGGAAGGTTTAGAACCACTGCTCCAGAGGGAAGTTTAAGGAAAGGGAAAGTAAGAAATAGTTTGAAAGAGCAGAGAACATGCTAAGTGGGAATAGTAAAAATTGCAGGGTTGAGTACCACTTGCGAGTTATGGTCCATTTAACGCGGCCCTTGTCAAACTTTTTAAGTTTTTCTCTGGCAAACATCAGCTATGGGCCCTTTCAATTCTGGCCTCAAACTACCTTTTCAACCATCTCTTTACATTCCCCATAATTTACTTCTGGGGTTTTCAGTCTTCTTGGTTGCAGAACCTTTCTGTCCAGTATCCAGTATATATATGTTCCCCAGGATATAAAACAGTACATATTTGGTGAGAAGAAGAGGAAGAGGGAAGAGGGGGTAGGAGGAGAGAAGGAAGAAGAAGAGAAAATACAGAAAGAGAAGCAGGGAAAGGGGAAGAGGAGGAGGAGGAGGAGGAAGTAGAGGGGAGGAAGACAAAAGGAGCTGCTCTGGATGAGGCTGAGGTTGGGGCTCAATCCCCTCACCAGCTCAGCCCCTCCTCGCAGCCTCTGAGGCATCTCCAAGGAACCCCAGGATCTGAAACCTAAGATTTACCCTAGCCAGGGCTTCTCAAAACTGGAATGTGTTTACAAATTACCTGTCTTGTTGAAATGAACATTCTGCTCCAGATGTTCAGAGCCCACAGTTCTGCATGTCTAACAAGCTGCTGGGTAATGGCTGATGCCACCGTTCTGTGGATTATAGTTTGAGTGAGTGGCCATACCAGATCACTTACCATTTTCCACTCACTCTTGCCAGTGTGGACCCTGTGGCCACATGTGCCTTTCCCTGCCTTCCTCAACTGGAAGATTCTACTCCAACCTCAAGGCTCCTTCTGAACCCATCTCCAAAAGTCCCAGGAGAAGTCATCATAATCCAGTCCCTACCTCTGTCTCCTACTACTCTCCCCATTCCTCACTCTGCTCCAGCCACACCCTGCCGTTTCCTAAACACACCAAGCCAGCACCAGCCTCAGGGCCTTTGCACCACCTGTTCCTTCTGCCCCTCATGTGCTTCCCCCAGATATCCTCATGTTCAACCCCCTTGTCTGTTATCCCCCTACTCAAATGTCTTCTTCATGAGGTTTATACTCTGACCACCCTATTTAATGCCCCCATCATTCTTGATACACTAATTATTTATACAAGGTGGGGCAAAAGTAGGTTTACAGTTGTGAGTATACAAAACAAGTTTATTCTAGTATTCTTATTTTTAAATTATTGTATTAGTTTTTCATATGAAAAACTATAAACCTACTTTTGCACCATGCTGTACATATATTTATTTCCCTTGCACTTACAAACAACTTGAGGGCAGGGTGTATAATATATTCATTTTGCATCCCAAGCATCTTGCACAGATTCCTTTACATTTAAAAAGAGTAAAATATCAAATCAATAGCTGACATAACTTGCAACTCTTGAATCTGCATTAAATTAAATGAATCTAAACATCGCAACAACCAGATCACTAGTGGAAGTATTAAAAATATAAAAAGATTTTCACAAGACGAAAGTAGAAATTAAGGCAAGGGCACAAAGACAATTCTAAAATGATTAATATATAACTCAAAGGTGCACAAGGATGCGAAGTGCAATGGTGACTTTATATCTATGAACCAGAAAAAGGTAATTCATTTAAAATGTTAAAAAAAAAAAAAAGACAGCTAATGTTTACTAAGAACTTAGCACATACCAGCAACTTTTTAGATATTTTACAAGTACTAACTTATTTAATCCACATATCGAACTACCATAATAGGTACTATTATTATCTTCTTTCATTAAAAAAGTGGGGGGGCTGGCCCGTGTGGCTCGGTTGTTTGGGCACCAAAGGTTGCTGGTTCAATT